TTTATGGTTAGGACTTTATAGTGTGATAGCTAAACAGAAGCCCGTGTTCATTTAACATTCCACCATTTCTGTGATTTGCCAATCTTTTTATTATCTGTGGCCATAAAATAATGCTAATTTTCCGCTTTAGGAGAAGATATTCTGCTGTTTCTAATGACCATTAGTGGATGGCACCTCTACTGCAGTGTCCATATAATGGACTTGCTGCTTCCATGCCAGTGCCTCCTGTCAATACTCAGAGGTGGTTTTTGCAGAGTGCTTGGATGCTTATTCTGCCTGATGTCCTCATTATTGCCAGTGAGTTCTGCTTTGACTGACAGCTGATGCAGAGCAGGCAGCTCTGATTATTACCCCTCAGTAACTCTTATACCACGGGCGCTAGCCTGTCAGGTGAAGCCAACAGCAGTGTTATGATGTGACCGCCTGGAATCACAAAGCCACATTCACCTCAAATGAACTAAGCTGATTTTGATTTGCAGTGAGAAAGCGCTAGTGTCCTGTTTCCGATGGTCTCCAATTAAACTGTAATAATATTATTAGGATGGATTTTATTTAAATTAAAGTTGGTTGAATGACAAAAGAAAGAGTACCAATCCAAGTTGGTAATTTTCTCTACAATGTTCTATTCTTTGAAAAATTATTTATTCTTATATATCTCATATATATGATGCATCTGATTTTTTCTACCCCTTGCTCCTCTTTAGCTTCTCCTACAACCTCTTAACACAATTTCTTTCCAACTTCATGTCCTGATTTTATAGTTTGTTTGTTTATTTATTTATCTATCCCACTGAATTCTGTTAAAGCGGCCCATCTGCACACATGCATGGAGTCATCCACTGGGGACTAGGAAACCTAGTAGTGACCACAGTCCAAAAGAAAAGTGACTGTCTCTCTCCCATCAGTCACCATCTGCCAATAACCCATCTAGAGGTGGGAGTCTAGGGAGCCCTTCCCTGCTTCATGCTGGAAATTTTTAACTGACTTGATCTCGTGTAGCTTAGTGCAAGTTCCTACTGCAGATGTGAGTTCATGTGCTATAGTCCTGTAATGTGCAGGAGACAGGGTTTCACAGCACTTTCCCTTCCCCACCCTCCACAACAGTCCATTCATTTGTCAGGTTTTTATTTTTAATTGTGTTTGTGTGTGATTCACATGTGTGCAATGCTCACAGAGGCCAGAAGAGGGCATCAAATCCTCTAGAGTTATAGGCTATTGTGAACAAGCCATCCTGTGCACTGATGCCAAACTTGGGTCCTCTGGAAGGGCAGTGCAGTCTCTTAAACACTGAGCCATCATTCCTGCCTCAACATGAAGTTTTGTCCTCATATAAGCAGTCTTCAGATTTATTTGTTTTCTTTTATATGTATAATGTATTTATATGATGTGCATATATACAAGCATCATGTGCCCATTGAAGCCAGAGGAAGGTGTCAGATCCCCTGGGAATGGAGTATAGATGGTTGTGAACCATTATGTGGGCACTGGGAATTGAAGTCCTTTTCAAGAGTAACAGTTGCTCTAAACCATGGAGCCATCTCTCCAATATTCTATTTTTAATGCATATAAGTTTATTAACTATTTCTCATGTCTTACAAAGCAGGCTTATTTTAGACATTTCTGAGAACAGTATGCATTAAAATATGAATATACCTCCTCTTTTAAATTATTGTGTCATCAACAGCCTCCAATTTCTCATTCTGTATATGTCTTTTGGAGAAGGGTGTGAACTTAAATTTAGTAGTGTATGTGTGGAGTTGAGTGTTCTTTTTATCTGCAAATATTTACTCCTGTTAAGAGGAACATATACATACATATATATATATATATATATATATATATATATATATATATATA